AGTGAATGTATAATCTGTCTAAATATTAAGCAGCCAGTGCTTGTCTATCCCCTAGGCCTACATGTTTCATAGCTAGTTGCAATTGTAATTGCTTGTACAACTTTCATATTGTTGTTGTTGCTCAACAGCAGGAAAACATTTGAGATGGACTGTGATTCCCTGCCCTCACACCGGAAGTGCTTGTAATGCCAACTGGCAATCGTTGAGGCTGACCGAGCCGAGAGGATGTTAGGCATTGTTCCTGTTAATAATGACTCTTTCGTTAATATATATGTATACATATATATATGTATGTACATAGATAATGTAGCCTTCGAGTCGTTGCCTGCCCATCTCAGAGGACTGCCCCATAAATGTTCATGTGCTCTCATGCAATCCCATTGTTGACACGTCACTTGCAATTTGCTTAACTCTAATCAATGGTAAATACATGAATGCATAGCGCTAGCTGCTTGGGCACATACGCGTCTCTCTCTCTCTCTCTCTCTCTCTTATACTCTGTGTGTTAACCACAAATCGAAAATAATCTTTATTTGGTTTTATTTGTGCTCTGTTTGTTCCTTTTCCTGACTTTTTTTTCTTCTCATTTTTTGGGTTGCTGTAAAAGTTTACGATAATCTGTGGGTGCGACTTTTATGTCTGTAATTTGTGCTAAGTCCTCGCAACGAATTTTCATGATGTCACATTTGACTCTTTGCCGAGTTAAGATTTGTATTTAGTATCGTGCGATAAGCCACAATCAATTACAGGTTGTGCGGCGTTGCGTGGCTTAAAGTGAGAAATTGATTCGTTCCTTAAAGTTCTTTGGTATTGAAATGTATATGTATACGAAATGTATGTCATATATAGTCATGATTACAAATTGTCATGTATGTATCCTGTCATGTCTATTTGGTTTTTGCTTCAGCTTAATCTTAGTTAAAGAGTATATCTCCATAAAGTGAATCAGTTGCTTCTTTAAGGGTATAAATATATTGCGACTTTTATTGCAATTTCAGATATAGTATATCATCAATAGTTGCATCTATTTTTGAAAGAGAGAGAAAATAGAAAGAACAAGAAAAATCACTACAAATAAAATCTAAAATTGAATATGCCGAGTTCGCAAAAAAATCTACGTTGACTATAGACATCAAGCACTTTTTATTGCAGCAGACGAACAGAAAATGTGAATTTAAAAAAAATGCAATCAAATGTTTTAACCATGAGCTGTTATTAAAAAGCAAACTTGGCAAAATATCATAAATTTATGCAATTTCAATTTCGTTTCGATTTAAGTTAGTTGAACAATA